TTCTTAATAAATCTCTAGATCAAACTACATTTAATAATAATGAATTTCATGATAGCATCGTAAGGGAATAAATGGGACAATGAAAAAATTTTAGGAATTGCGGATGCACCTAGATTGCTTGGTAGAACGAAATAATAGTTTTACGAATAAATAGCTATCATTTAAGACCATCCCTTAATGAACCATCGACCTTACCAAATTTAGATTGTAATGATGAGGAAGGTAATAATGACATTGTAAATAGTAGAATAGAAAGTGAAGTAAGTGAGAATCTAAGACGCTCAACCAGAGTGAAAAAAGTTCCTGCAAAATATAAGGACTTTTAACTTTAAAAGGGAAGATGTTGTGTGTAGACTTGTAACAAAACGTTAATGTTAGCAACGTCGCACATGTTTAGCAATCAGTTAGTTGTATTGTGTTAATAAATGTGTAATCACACTTAAAGTGTATTAATAATTGTAACACAACAGGTTGGCATAAGGTCCAACATAACAATAACTCTCCCACCGAAGTAATCCCTGGAAATAATGGACAAGTTCGCGCACAACTATAACCTTTTATACTCAAATATAAACACTTTTGAGAATTATGACATAAGCAGCACCCCATTCGTGGAAACCAAAACTAAAGAGAACGACAATACCAATTTAAGGAACTGGAACAGTCTTCGGCAAAACGGAAACACTCTTAATCGCAATACAAGAGGAGGCTGCCTGGCTCTGATTCACCATTCACTAAAAATGCGAAAACAAAACTCACCTCATATCAACAATCCTTGGAATAATTGTTTAAATTTCTCAATTCCTTTTAAAGATGACCACCTTTAAATATTTCTTGTCTAGATCCACCACTCTTCACTCATAGAACAATCTATTTTTATCATGGCTTCCACAAAAAAGTATGCTCTTATAATAATTATTGTAGACTTTAACATAAGTAGTGCAAACAGAAGCAAACAATGTGTTACACTTTTTTAATGGGTAACAATAATGATTCCACCTCGGATATACTAATAATAATAATGCTTTATTGAACTAAAACCAAGTTCAAAGGCTATTGACCGTAGTCCTTCAGCCGATCGGATATACTATTATACACTAATAATCTACAAACAACATCACTGGACCTAAGTCGGGCAACAAGTCGATACTTGTTGCCCGACTTAGGTTCAGACCATTTAACTGAGCACATTAACAACGAACTTTTGAGACATACTTACCAAGTGAACCACACTTCTATCAGCAATAACAGTTTTGATACCTTTAACAACTGTCTTTCCAATTCAATTAAAAAATTTACGCCTACCTATTCTCAATCTTTTTTTCGCTACAATCCTCCCCCACATATTATTAACCTTCTCAAAAACAAAAGAAAAATATAAAGGCAGTTTCAACTACACCCTGATCCTGCCCTGAAGAAACAAATTAACGAGTTGTTAAAGGCTACTAAGGTCTTCAAAAACAGCCAATGTTGAAATACAGATCTTGATAAAGAACGAATTTTTTGCGATACACTTAAATCACTAATACCAAGCTCAGGATAACCCACAATTTAACCAACAAAACTTTGACACAACAATACAGTGGTATAACTCCTACTTTGACTCCGTAAACGATTTTGACCCTTAAACAATTGTATTTTAACATAATCAAAAAAATTCCACCCCCGGTAACGATAACATTCCATGGACTATAATTACAAAACTAGATTACAGCATTCATTTATATATAATTAAACTTTTTGAAAGCTGTCTCAATAACCAACACTTTCCACCTATATGGAAAAAAGGAAAAATAATCATGATACCCAAACCAAACACTGATCACAGCAATGCAGAGAACTATCGCCCAATTACCCTCCTACCGTGTTTGGGAAAACTTCTGAAAAAATTATTACTTAAAATCACCACACAAGCCTCCGACAAGATCCCCAACTATCAATTTGGCTTTAGAAGCTCAAGATCCACTGTACATCCTCTTACCGCGGTCATATCCAATATACGAACAGCCAGGCTAAACAATCTTTCTTCTGCGGCTTTGTTCTTTCATCAAAAGAGCATTTGACTTGGTTTGGCATAAAGGACTAATCTATAAACTTAATAAGATCGGAATTGCTAATTCCCTCATCTACCTCATTAACAGTTATCTTGAAAACAGACCACTCTATCTTTGCATCATTGGGCAAAAATCTCCACCACTCATTGCGGAACAGGGTTTTGCACTCAATTTAATATAAGTTTTGGTTTCCTAACATATGCACATATAATACACAACGTATGGTGGGCAATTTTGTGGTAGAATAAGTTAGGTATTTTTTACAGGACTAATATTGTAATTTTTATTGCCTTTTTATCGGTGTACTTTCAAAAAAACAATCTATTTAGCCATTATGCAAAAGGTTAACGAAACCAATTAAAATTACCCTATTGTAAATGACCAATAGAATCCAATAAAAAATAAGTTATTGGTTTGAAATGTGTTTTGGCGCTATGAATCACCAATTTATTCCAGTTGCATTCCTATTGGTAAGTTACATTATTTATGTCAATTTTTTTTATTTTGTCCGCTGTAACCACCATTCTCACGCCATCGTCCCTAAACCTTATACATATAAACATTTTTTTAAGATATAAGTACACTACCATCACTAGGCACTTAACACAGAAATCGACTAATAAAAAAAACCGCTAATAAATGGCGTCCAAAGACGTGTTGTTTTTTCTTTATGATGGCGTCTCAACCTCGTTGGTTTTGCGCAGCTACACGAGAGCCCTCTTGCGATATTTGTATTTTATTGGGAATAACCAATTAGCAGATTTTTCGAATCTTACACTGGGAATGCCCAATTGAATTCAATTGGAAATACCTATAGGTAGCTTTATCCAATCGAAACTGCTAAAAACAGTAGACTCCTAATTAGATTTTTCCATATTTTAAAGTATTGGGAATAACCAATTAGCAGATTCCTTTTTCGAATCTTACAATTGAATTTAATTCGAAATTACCCATGGGTAGCTTTATCCAATCGAAACCAATAAAAAACATTAGAATCCTAATTGGACTTTTCCATCATGGAAAATACCAGTAAAAACCAATTTCTGTTTTATATCGCGCCCAATTAAATCCAGTAAGTCCTATTCAGACCCATTGATACCAACCAATACTTCAATTGGTTTGTACAGGAATTAATCGGCCATTTACAACAGGGTAGGTTTATATTTTAAAAAGTAAACTTTCTAATGTGATAGATAATTCATCGGGAACGTCCATAAATCGGCCGATATTGGTAATGCCGTAGTGCGGCAGACAGAGAAAATCTGTGTAAACATAACCAAAGATATTAATAAATAAACTTGTGAAATAAAATTGTGATATAATTTCTTAAAGTTTTTGCGTTTTTGTTTATCTCTGGTAGTAATCATGAAACGGACAAGAAGACATCTAGAAGTTCAGCACGAATTGCTACAGATTTACAGTCTTTGTATCATGGTCTTTTCACATAAGATACGGACCAAAACAAACACATTGGAAACGTGTGATCAGGGTATGTACAGGTGGCTAGAGTGGTGAATTTAGGGGTTTTAATTTTGCCGAGATTCAATGCTTGAGGTATTTTTGTTATATACTTGATTTCGCTGCGTTTATTTGGGTTTTATTCTTGTTGGCTATTGATATTATTATGGCTAGTATTATTACACAAGTAAAACTTTTTGAATATAAATGCATATGTAAGTGGTTTGGTGTAATAAATTCATATCTATTTTTAAGTTTTATTTATAATAAAATATTTTTTATTTTTACCAAGAAACACGTATTTTATAGGCATAAAGTACAGCTTCGGATGGATTTAATCTACCTAACCAGGAAATCAGTATTAATGATGTTGCTTTAAAAGTCGTAAGCAAAGTTGGAGTAAGCCGTTCTTCAGTCTTTGGAGTAATAAGGGAGTACAAAAAAATGGTATGTTCACCTAGCTGAAACCCAATGAAGTTCATAAAACCATTATAAAATCATTGGATGATGCCGATCGGCATGCGATTAGAAGAAAAGTGCACGAATTTTTTCTCGAAATGAAATACCTACAATCCATAACGTATTGAAGGAAGAAAATGAAGTATTTAAATTTTAAATGGCAAAAACGAGGGCGGAATAGCTTATTGATAGATAGACGAAATTGTCCTATGGAAAAGAGAGTATCTGACTACATGGGTTAATGAGTACACATACTTACATGTATACGTATACGTATGGGTTGATAAAACTGTATTTATTTATTTATTATTATTAAAAAATTATTTATTAAAATAATATTGACATTAAAATGAAAAAATAAACAAATTTAGTTATTCATTCACTTAAATTGTAAAATCAATACCATTAAATGCGGTCCTGTCCAATGTTATCGCTTGAGTTTTTGAAAATCACGTGCTTAGAGCGTGATTTTAATAATTTTAGTTCGTTATGTGAAAATACTGTAGGCTCAAGTTCTTCAAGAAATTCAAAGTGCTACAGCAAGTAATAATGAAATATTCTATTATTTACATCAAAAGAGCGTAAAAACCATTTTTTAGACCAAGAACATAATCCTCCACCCTTTGATGACAATCATGATTTAATTGCTCCTGATATCTCAATGAAGAATGAAAATTAAAGTTAGTTAATTAATTAATTAAAAATGTGATGGCTAGAGAAAGGCTGTATAAAATGTTCAAATAATGTGTATCTTTTAAATGTATTTTTCAGTTTTTTATATAAATAATGTGATAACAAATGTAATAGCTAGAATACATGGCTATATAAAATATGTTTATTTTTTTGTTAATTTAAACAATGTGATTACAAATGTGATAGAGTAGGCTATATAAAATAAGTGTAGGTAGTATTTGGATATTTTCATATATAATCAACTTTTTATTACAATTTAAGTGGTATTTTTATTTTGCTATTTACCCGATTTTAACCGTGTTAAGTGTTCTAGTGCGGACATTTCAATTAACTTACCGGTGTGAGTTCTCATATGAACTGCAAGATCGGCTGATCTTCCAACTTTTTTGCCACAAACTGTGCATTGGAAATTTTTTACTCCTGTATGAGTCTTCATGTGAACTGTCAATGCTCCCTTACTAACAAACTTCTAAAAAACAATAATTGTTACAGTTATATAAAACCTAAAAAATGTCGCACTAAGGGCAGTGCGGGTCGCAAAATTAAAAAAGCGGCAGGGATTTTTTTGTGGCTTGCACGAGTCGTGCAGCACGACTGATTACTTTTTTAAGCTTCCAAAACAATAAAAAATACCGAATTAAACATTAAAATATGTATGTATTAAAGAAAGAAGAAAAGCTAATTTATATTATATCATTGTGTACAGTGTAGCAAAATAATCAAAATAATTTTTACTGACTTTGAAGCGATGTATCTTCATTACTGTTCGTTTGATTTGTACAAATTTTTCAGGGTATACTAACAAAAATACGGTCTTTAACAGCAAATTTTTTATTTACTTAAAATATATATACAGTGTATATTATACACACAAACATATATATTAGACTGGTTCAAAAAAATCGAATATTTTTTTTTTCTTCAAAGCCCGCATTAAAATATCTTCCTAGTAGTAAAAAAAGAAGCCTGTGAAAATTGTAGCTCTTAATATTAATATTTAGAGGTCGCTCATCGTGAATTTCTATTTTACGTTTAAATAACACAGGAATTCTTTTTTCTTAACTTTGAAATTTTATAACTCGTTTTTGAGTGAACATATTGGAATTAACTCTATATATTTTTGAAGAAAATTGAACGTTCTACAAAAAATGTCTCTTATAATTTTTTCGTAAATTCACTCCTTTAATAGTTATTCAAGGTTGAAATTAGACATATAATAAATGTAACGTTTAAATAACACAGGAATTTTTTTTAACTTTTAATTTTATAACTTTTTTTTTGAGTGGACATATTGGAACGAGCGATAATTTTTTTTTAAAGAAACATAATTTATATAAAATTTTCAAAAAAGATTATACAGGGCGGTCCAGTTTGTGATACATTAATAATTTTTAAAATTATTTTAAGGTAGACTTTCATTAATTAACATTTCTCAAAAATGTTTCCCAAGGAAAATACAGGTCGTCAAAGATTACAAAAAAACTAGTTTTCTCTTTATAACTTTTAAACCACAACATTAATTTTTATCAGATTTAGCACAAAATGTAACATAGTCAGTGCCTTAATAATAATGTGGGGGGACTCCCCTTTTCACCTCAGTCTTTGACGCCACTAAAAATATTAAATAAATTTGTAGGTCAAGTTTTTAATTTAGAGAAATAATTTACTCCTGTAAAATTTTGATTTGGGTCTTTGTTTCTGAAATATTTGCTCAAAAATGTTTCCTCGCAGAGACGCTTTCCGTCAAAGTTTATAAAAAAAACTCGTTTCCCCATCATAACTTCTAAACCACTTAATCAATTTTTATCAAATTTTGTACACAATATAGTCAATGTCTTAGTAATGATGTGGATAATTTAAAAAAACATCAGTTGCGCAGTTACTTGGGGGTCTGCTCCTCTTTTCACCTTAGGCGCCACTGGAATTTTTTTTAATAATAAACACATTTTTAGATTATCTGTTTAATATAGAGAAAAAAACTACTCATGTAAAATTTTGATTTAGTGCTTCATTTTTTAAATAATTAATTTATTTATCCAAGAATACTTTTGCCGCAGTTTTTTTGGAGTGTGTTCCCAAATATTTTAAAATCGAAGCCCTAAATTAAAATTTTAGCACAGTAGTTTTTTTTCTCTAAATTGAACAGACAATCTAAAAATGTAATTTTGCGAGGAAACATTTTTCCATTAATTAAAAACTTGACCTAAACATTTATTTATTATTTTAAAATTTCCAGTGGCGTCAAAGACTGAGGTGAAAAGGGGAGCAGCCCCACAAGTAACTGTGGCTCTGATTATCTACATTATTATTAAGGCACTGACTATATATATATTACATTGTGTGCCAAATTAATTTTGTGGTTTAAAAGTTATGAAGAGAAAACTATTTTTTTTAAGAAATGTTTTTTTATGAAAGTCTACCTTATTTTTGATGCTTTATCACCTATTAAAATTAATGTATTACAAACTGGACCATCCTGTACAATGATGAGTGATGAGTGATAAGGTTCATTATTATGCCACCAATTGAAAAAAAAAACGTTAAATTTATTATATGTCTAATTTCAACCTTGAATAACTATAAAAGAAGTGAATTTATGAAAAAATTATAAGAGACATTTTTTGTAGAGCGTTTAATTTTCTTTAAAAATATGTGTCGCTTATTCCAATATGTTCACTCAAAAACGAGTTATAAAATTTCAAAGTTAATAAAAAAGAATTCCTGTGTTATTTAAACGTAAAATAGAAATTCACGATGAGCGCGCTCGCGACCTCTAAATATTAATATTAAGAGCTACAATTTTCTCTTGCTTCTTTTTTCACTACTGGGAAGATATTTCAGTGCGGGCTTTGAAGAAAAAAAAATATTTGATTTTTTTGAACCAGTCTAATATATATATAAAAGTTTTTTTCGAGCGTTTTTTTAATATTAAATAAAAGGGCTATAAAAATATTATAAACCCTTGAACACGTAAACTGAGATATAAGTTAAAGTATTCTTATACAAAATTTCATACAGATTGGTAAAGGCGTTTTAGAGTCAGAATTTTTTTTACTTATTATGCGTTAAATTTGTATAAAGTTTCAAAGGATACACGTGAAAATTCAAAGTTTAAATATAAAAAAATATTTGGATAATCGTCGTTTATACGCCGCTCATTCATAATAACCTAATTTACCTTTTCACAAATCTCGCACGAGTAGGGTCTCTCATTAGTATGGGTTCTCATATGAATATTTAAATATGAAGAAGTAACGAAACTCGCGCCACAAGTAGCACAAGCAAACGGTCTTTCCCCTGTATGCGTTCGTTTATGAACTTTCAGCACAAATGAGTGTCCAAATTTTTTACCTAAACATAAAATATTACATTGAAATACGCAACTTTAATAAATTAAAAAAGCATGCATATTTTTCATTGTTATATAACAAAATAATTACCGCAAACATCGCACTCATAATTTCGTTCTCCCGTATGTACTTTCATGTGTGTAGTCAATCCATGGGAATCAATAAATCCTTTGCCACAAACTTTGCAAACTGCGGGCTTTTCTCCTGTATGTGTCCGATAATGAATCTATAATTTCATAATGTTAATTATATTAAAAACTATATGGGATGCATTCGGTCTGTAAACTTTTACCGTGAAAATACGGTATAAGCATTAATTAAAATCTTCACTCAGTGGTATAAGATGTACAAAAAATAATTTTAATTTTTTTGATTATATTCCACATACGCGGTTCTTTTTACTCTGTTGCTCTTGTTGCACTTATAACAGAGAGAAAGAAACCTGCGCGTAAATAGTCGCAGAATATACCCTTGGCTTAGATCACCAGCCACCAAATCACTGATTTTAAATCAGTTTATTTTTAAACTTATAATTCAAGGCGTTGACCTAAATTTTTTTTTAAATATTTTTTTCAGATCTAGAATGATAACTTCAGAAATTGAGTGATTTGTCCAAAGTGTGACACCATTGACTTCTTCACTCAATGGTGACACACTGTACCTATACCAAAAAATATTACTCTTATCTACTTACTGTTAAATGGTTTTGTTCATAAAAACCCTTTCCACATTCTGTACATAAAAAATCTTTTACCCCAGTGTGTCTTCTTTTGTGTTTAACTAAACTAGCATGGAGAAAGAATTCCTTGCTGCATATTTCACACTTAAAAAGTTTGTTATCTGTATGAATGTGTACATGTTTTTTTAATTTACTTAACTCTAAAAATATATTTTATTCAAAATTGATCAACAATTTTTAAAATTAAAGAAAGTGTCTTACTTGTAAATTTTTTTTTACAAATATCACAGCTTATAGGTTGACCATGCTTTAAAATCATATGGTTTCTTAAATAGTTAATGTTTTTAAATATTCTCAAACATATGTTGCAAGTAATGTCTTCAATCGGAGGGTTTAAATCTCCATTACTTTCATCTTGATTTTCAGTAGCGCCAACAGAATTATTTACTACAACTTCTATTAGCTGGTCATAGTCTTGATTCTTAAATTAATAATATTGAATTGAAAATAATTAGATTAGAATATTTTAACTTACTTGAATAAAATCAGTAGATGCATTTAAATCGGTCTAAAAAAGATTTAATATTAATAATTACTTTTCACTAAAATATTACCTACAAGTTCAGGAAAAGTTATGTCTTTATAATCTTCTAAGTTATCACTTAAAATTGTTAATGTTTTACAAAAAAAACCTTCAGTATTCATTACTCGTCTTAGTTCTTTATCTGATTTATTACATTGTTCTTTAAATTTTGTTACAATATTAAGAGTACTAATGCAATCATTACAAATATTACTTGGCAAGCCATCATTTTCGTCAACCTGAAAATAAAAATTAAATTAATGAAAACAATTAAACTTAAGACTGATTCTTACATTTATTGCAGTTGCATCAAAAAGTTCTATTTTAAAGCAATTTGTAAATACATTTTGTAGTTCATCAAGTGGTTTCTCACTCAAGCAAGTCCTACAAAGTGTTCCTAGGTCTGTTATAATTTTTATAGTTTCTTGAGTCATTCTAAATTGATTTTTTAATCCAATTGTTTAATCCAATAAACGGAATAAATCTAATATTTCAAGTTATTTATCTAGGGGTTATGTTTACACTTAGTTTGACATTGTGACCAGCGTTGCCAGATGGTCAAAATGAAATTACCGTACCTGCTTAGTAAAAATTACCGTACATTTAAAAAATTAAAATAAAATATTTAATATATAAAATATATAAAAGCAACAAAAAATTAAACAAAATTAAAAAATATTTTTTATTGAAAACTATTTTCGGTGGGTTCCTTTTATTTTTTTTGCAGAAGGTTCATCATTGCTACTCGAATCAGACATATTTAATAACAAAACCAAAGAACAAAACACTTTAATTTTAGGGGGGATATACAAACTTAAAACAAATTGGTTTTGCGTCGTCGCATTTAGCAAATAGAATAGAGAGAGTATAAAAGTTAGGTTAATTTTATTATTCTGTCTCATCAATATCGGCATTACAGAACCCTACAGTCGGAGTGCTCCATTTATTTACTAAGAATTCCCTAGATGGCGCTATATTAATTTAAATCTTAGAACAAAAAACAACAGGAATTCTTAAGTCTTAAGACGCATTTAATAAATGACCCAATTGGGTCCAAAGTGGAGCTTCAATATGGCGGATAGTTGTTTCCGTTTGACAGTGGCGTAGTAAATACAATTGAAGTTTAATTTTTATAATAATTAGGTTAGTATCAGAAAATATGATACGCCTATGGTTTTTTCTATGATGGTTACGTTCTTAGGTTATGATTATGTTCTAAGGTTACGTTCAAAGAACGTTCTTTGGTTACGTTATTTGACATTGATTTTTGTTTAATATTTACAACAAATTATTTTAAAATATATATAAATATGGTTACGTTATTTGACATTGATTTTTGTTTAATATTTACAACAAATTATTTTAAAATATACAATAAGTAAATAAATTAAACGTTAACCAAAATACTCACCTATGAAATGTCCCAGGTAACCAAACGTAACGAAAAAGTGACAGAAATTGTATGTATGTTTTCTTTATCGTCACGTGTATAATCGTCGAAACTATATCAATTTTAAACTCAAATTTTTCACAAAACCGCTCACCTGCCGTTATAACGTGATCGTCACGTTAGCGTTATCGTGATTTTAAACCGAATCGACATAACGTTTACGTGACGCTGTAATCGTTACTAAATCAACACGAAAATACAGTTATATTCGATTTTGAATTTGTGACCGTATCTTTAACCAGTGGCGGCTGGTGGATTTTTGGTATATATACCGGTATACCAATATCTCAGTTATTATACATAGGACCCAAACCAAACCTTTATGAGTTTATAATAATATAAAATTGAAGTTTGCGAAAAAAGTAATTTTTTTCAGCCCAGTCCCCTGCCCCCCTAATTAAGATAATGCAAATTAAAGTGGTGCTATTAATAACTCAGTGCAGTTTATCGACAAATTTCCAAATTTATTTCAAATTCCAAGTAGATTTTATACCATTTAAACTTTTTTTTATCCTAAAATAAAATTTAAAAATGGTATAATATTTGTAATCTTGTATTTTTTAAATAAATTTTGAAATTTGTTATAAACTATAGTGAGTTATTAATTGCACCACCTTAATTTGAATCATCTTAATTAGGGGGGCACGCTGAAAAACTTAATTTTTTCGCAACAATTTTTTATTTTATTACAACTTCATAAAAGTTTTGGGTCCCATGTCTAATAACTAAGATATCAGTATACCCCAAATCCCCCAGTCGCCACTAGTGACTAGTGACAGCTGTCTTTAACTAATCTGCTCAAGTCTCAGATTGCTGGAATTAGTCCAAAATTTTTACTATAGTAAGCTATAGCTATATGTATATTTTAAATAATTAAATAAGCACAAAAGACTGAAATGGAACAGGTTTCAGAAGAATTTCTGATTAATTAATAATAATACCTTTAACAAAACAATATATTTCTCAAACCAAATTATAAAAACAATAAAAAACTAAATAAATAACTCTAAAAAAATATATTCTTCTTCAAAAGGATAAAAACCAAATAAATAATTTTCTAAAGCATATTCAGTCAATATTTTTTCTTCTATTCGACATTTTGCTGTATTTCTTTTTTCTTTTGCTGAAAAAAAGTATTAATGTGAACACTAGTTATATACCTCCTCTACATAATAAAGTAAACAGAATTTTTGCATAATTAAGTTTTTAAATCAAAACCACTACTTGTTAAATATTTAGGTAATGTTAAAAGGCATTAAAATAATAAAATGAATGTTAACATAACCTATAATTATTTTTATAGAAATACAATATGAAAAACAATACTTACAATTAACGCCTTCCAAAGAAAATATATAATAAAAACTAAACACAAGCTAATAATTTTTAAATAAACCAATTTCAAAACAAATTAGTTGCACGGGAACACTAAACAGAACAAAATCAGATCAATATACCTACCTACCTAGGTACTTATTTGACAATAATGGCGAATTGAATAAAGAGTTAAGAGGGTAGCTAAAGACACGGTAAATCGTAAAGTTAAAGTCACGGTATACCGTGACTTTTGTTATAACGTTATAACATGACAATAAAGTCACGTTTATATAACGATTAATTTAGCAAAGTAAGTATATGGAAAATCGTGAAAGCATTGGTAAAGGCAGATTCTATATCAAATCGACATCTCCAAAATTATTAATTTTCGTTAAAGATATATAGGTCACAACTTTATAGTTAAGATATTGGCCACGTTAACGTCACATTTAAAAATGTTAGTCACGTTTGGTTACCTGGGGTAAATGAATATTTTTAATTTTTTGTGCTCAAGGAGCAACCACAAGCTGCACAACTAACCATAATTTGTTTTTTATTTTATTTTTTTTATTTTATTTTATTTTATTTTATTATTATTTTAATGTGCTTCCAACAGGCACCAGGCCCAATTACAGGAGTACACACTGGCACACACAAATAAACAGCCATACCCCTGGTGGGATTCGAACCCACGACCTTACACTAATATTTATATCTTAAACTTTAAATATTTACACTTAAACGAGAATATATCAAATACAATATTGTCTAGAAACAATGAAACGCTTATTTAAAGTTAATTTAACCAGAAAAACAACATAAAACACCGACAAACACATAAAACATTCAACTTTGACAAATATAGCATCACAAATGTGTCAAAATTTGGAGCTTGCAAATGGCCGACTTCCGACGCAATTTTAGTACGGCTCAGTGTTACCAGATTCTGTCAAAAAAGGACCGTACGTTTCGTTCGAATTTACCTTAATTACAAAATGACACAATGAAACAATGCAAATAAATGCAATTATGTCAAGTTGAAGTTATTTAATATTGTTCATTGAGTCATTTTTGTAATTAAGGTAAATTCGAACGAAACGTACGGTCTTTTTTTGACAGAATCTGGTAACACTGGTACGGCTAAAGAATGACAAGACTCCTTCCTGTTGTTTTTTATTCTAAGATTTAAATGCATATACTTACCAAGTATATGTATAAGTATATGTTTAAATGCACATACTTCCACTTCCTACTTCCTGGAAGTATGTGTTTAAATGTGTAGAAAACCCATAGACAAGAGAAGAAAAGGACCATAGAGGTTTTTCTATAGACAAACAAATAGAATAAAAACACAATAAATAAAAAAATATTGTTAATAATATCATTGAGTAAGGAAGTTGGGTTGGGTCCTTACTCAATGATAATATTATGTATGAAAATATGTCAGTTAGTAAATTTACCGTACATTTGTGCACGGTATTGAGGTTTGGAACGTATACCGTATTTTCATTCAAATTACCGTATAAATACGGTAATTATAATTACGGTATACCGTACGAATGGCAACGCTGATTGTGACTACCAACATAGAAAATCCCGAAGGGCACTACCAACCACTGGCAACTGCTAGTACCAACCTCTTCTAATTTATGTTAGAGATACTACTGGACTCCAGTAACTGGATACAGCTCTAGCATATATTGGAGACTCTCTACTACTCAGAGATACTATTATGCTAGATACCATCTATTCATAAATTCTGTGTGGACAGCAAGTGTCTTTGCCGATAAAAAATACTAAACGGTAAAGTAATTTTGAAAGTGTTCTAGGAATATAGGCAACCCAGTCTTCACAGCTACATGGGTTGCATACGTATAAATTATTTAATATAGACATAGACATTATTCTATGGTTTTTCTAATTTAGGCAGTATATTAATTGGCAATCAATATCAATGATTGCATAGTTATCTAATTTATAAATATTTTTTTCTTTAAGTTCACTTTACATGGAAATATTGCATAGAAAAGTATTCTGAAAAGAAAAAATATATTGACATTGTCGTCGCAAATGTTGATAAAAATGTTGAAATCGGTCACTTTACGGCCCAGCAATCCTGAAATAAGAGGGCGTTGGTGTTTCGTTGATTTCGTTTGTTTTGTACCACAATCAGCACCGCTGGTGGTGAAAAAACCTAATTTGTGGGCAGGTTTTGTCAATTTCCCGGGGAAATTTTCCCCCCATTAAGTTCGAACTCCTTGTGTAGGCTCCATGATTTTCATTGTTAGTCGCATGAACCATCCACAAGGACAAAGCGTGCCCACAAATATTGCACAAATTAGGTCATATTTTTTTACCACCAGCGGCGCTGATTGCACTCAAAAAAATTTTATGTCATGAAAAGCATAGGAAATTATTATAAATAATTTAAATAATCGGGTATATTTGATTTAATTTTTATATAATTTAAAAAAAGTTTTACACTGCGATTGTATATTGTATTGTGAATACATGTAATTCGGACTCCTGGGCTCCATGGCCGACGTCGTCAGTTGTTATGTCAGTTCGACAGGCTGTCCATAGATGACCGAACAAAACCTAAACGTCGTTTTTCGATAAAAAAAACCCTGCCAAAAAGTCGAGTGATAGCGGATGTAAAACCAAGCC